TCCACTTCCGCTCGGCCGAACCTCTGCCATATGAGATCCACCACCTGGGGGTGCAATCTCCACTCCCTATCCTCCAGACTCTGTCTCGAGAGCAAGTCTGCTCCTGAGTTCAGGCGACCTGGGACATGGACTGCTCTGATCGACAGGAGCTTTGTCTGAGCCCAAAGAAGAACACGCCTCGCCAGCCTGCACAGGGGGCGGGAACGTAATCCTCCTTGACGATTGAGGTACGAAACAACTGTCGTGTTGTCCGTCCTGACTAACACGTGACAACCCCTCAACTGGGCTAAAAACTGTTTGAGAGCCAGGAAGACAGCTAGCATCTCCAAACTATTTATGTGCCAGCCACGATGCACCTCTGTCCAGACTCCACAGACTGGATGTACTTGATGGACCGCTCCCCAGCCCGTGAGGGACGCGTCCGTAGGGATTGTCTTGCGGCAACACAACGTCCCCATCTGGAATCCCTTCTTGAAGGAACTGGGGTCTCATTCACGGGCTTAGAGCACGAAAGCCCTTGCGTGTCACCGTAATTCTGCGAAGCGGATGACAATGAGGTGAAATGTTCTGGCTCTTGGTCCACCACTGAAACAGTCACATGTGGAGCAGGCCCAACTTAACTACAGGGGACGCCGCCGCCATCAGACCCAACAGTCTGAGACACAAGCCTACGTGTACTAGGCGCCCTATCTTGAACTGACTTAGACAGGTCTGTATTGACTGTACACGTGCGGGAGACAGACGTGCCCGCATCATGCAAGAATCCAATTCCACCCCCAAAAAGGTCGTTTGCTGACATGGCAGCAGGACACTCTTTTGTAGGTTCATCCGTAACCCTAGGCTCCTCAGATGATCGAGTACCAAATCTCGATGTGTCAGTGCCTGATCCTGAGATTGAGCTAATATTAGCCAATCGTCCAGGTAGTTCAAAATTCTGATGCCCAGGAGCCGCAACGGGGCCAGAGCTGCGTCCATACATTTTTTAAACGTTTGAGGAGCCAAAGCTAGTCCGAAAGGAAGAACACAATATTGGTATGCCTTGCCCTCGAAAGCAAACCTGAGGAACTTCCTGTCTTGATGGATGTGAAAGTATGCATCCTTTAGATCGATGGTTACAAACCAATACTTTACTGTTAGCATCTTGAACTTGCTCACTCTGAGCACAAGATTTAGATGACGCAAGTCCAAAATCAGACATAAACCACCATCTTTTTTGGGCACAACAAAATACCGGCTGTAGAAGCCTGACTCCATCTGAGTGGGGAGTATCTCCTCTATAGCCCCTTTCTCTAGGAGTGACACGATCTCCTGACTTAAAATCGAGGCCTCCCCAGGACGTACCGTCATAGGAAGAACCCCGCTGAAAGGAGGTGGCCCTTTCTGAAATTGGATGGTGTAACCGTGTCGAACAGTGCGTAGTACCCATTGTGAGACGTCGGGCAGGCGTCTCCATGCGGCCCAATAGTCTGTTAGGGGTTTTAGTCGTTCTACGTTTGAAATATTCACCTGATTTTCCTGTATAGGGCCCCAAAGCACCTGAGTGGCGGGAAATTCTATAACAGGAAGATGTCCAAATGTCCTGTCGGGCCTGCCCACCACCCCAAGAGTGAGAGCTTTGAAGACCGTCATAAACGGGCCATGCTCGCATGACCCTTGGGCTTTCTCTCGAACTCTGAAGGCTGGAACGTGCAGAGTATCTGAGGGGTGCTCGTCATAAGGACTCGACCTAAAACTGTCCGAGTACGCTTGTGCGGTTCGTCCACACTCTCTAAAGGAGGGCCTGGCCTCCGAAGACGAGCAAAGGAATGAGGAACTGCTATTAGAAGCCTGAGAACGAGAGGCCTTGGCCGTCGAACTCAGGTCTATCCGCTTGCGTTGCCGTGGGTGAGCAGGTAGGCGAGACCTAGGACCCCAGTCCTTACGAGGGGGTAACGTAGGCGATGGCTCATGCCGCTGGACCTCGCGAGGGCACTGCAAAGAGGACGAGCGTGAACGAGCCGCAGGTGGTTGACGCTCTACTTCCCTAGCCCTGCGCGGGATGATCTGACGAAACGCGGCGGATTGCTGTTTCGCTGCTTGAAACTTTTCCACGACAGTCGTGACCGAATCCGCGAACAGACCGTCATTAGAAATGGGGGCGTCCAAAAGAAAGGTTCTGTCCTTTTCCTTAATGTCAGTGAGAGTGAGCCAAAGGTGTACCCACCTGCCTGTAGCCTTCTAGTAGTCTTGAAGACAATGATTAGCTGGTTCAGGTGTGTTTGATTAGGGTTAACACTGTCAGTCGCCAGTTGGCAGGTACAACTTTTACGAATTATAACAATGCAGTGAAGTGAAAACAACAGCCGGTTTTTAAAGAGATTCGCTGTTTCTGACATAAGCGAATAAAATAATCTTTTCCGAAGACAAGATCATCGTGGTTAGCTGTTCTGTCATAAGCGACAAGAGCGAATCGAATAATAGAATACAAACGGGCTGATAAGGTCAGAGCTGATGGCCAGCTTGTCCCTAGACACAGTTCTAATAACTTTTACCTGAGAAGATTTTGCTGCTTCATTTCGGAAGATTAACTTTTCCCTTCTTTATTCTTCATAACCAGAGAATGCGGCGACACCTGGGGTTATGCTGCCTAAACGGTGCAGTGAAGTATAGTTTGAAAGGTTGCTCGTTCGGCTGTACACGTACTCTGAGCCGCTTCAGACAGCTCACTGGTAGCGATTCAACGGACGAAAACACACACAATTATGTCAAAATGCGCGGTTTTGGCGAGTTACCTTGTAAACATAGTCTTAAATTAGTTATAAAGTCTTAAATGACCGTAAAGAGTTGGGAGAAAATCGGATGTGTGTCAGATCCGCATCATATGCATCAAGTTTTAAAGAGACAGTGCTGATTTGTCAGTTGATGTAAATCAAAGAACAAAAGAAAAAGAGAAATCCTTGGACTGTTCTAGTCACTGATTAACTTTTATAGCTTGAATACAGATTAATATGTATAGTTCATGCATATATAATATAGTTTATGTGAAGATTGTTTTAAAATCACTTAAATTAAAATTTGTTATATATTTCAGAGCCTATTAAATGTTAAAAATAATGGCTTTCAATTATACTGTAATGTTGAATGGCTATAATTAATAGGTAAAATTGAGGGAAAATGCACCAGCAGGACAAATTAAAAATATTGTAAATATATTTAGTCATTGTAGTAGTAATAACTGCCTGTTTTTGCTAAAAGAGTTTCATAGCCGGTAAAAAAAAATTTTGACCGGTAAATTTGATCATGTCACCGGCCATTGGCAGGTGTGGCAAAAAGTTAGTTTTAGGCCCTGTGTGTAATAGATAAGATGGTATCCTCTAGAGCCAGTGTCAGCCATGCCACCCTGACGAGGCTTAAAGATTTCAGCTGCCCAGGGAGCTCAGAGAGCTGAGTCTCAGATCAGGTTATAAAGATGGAGGTGTAGCCTTCAGACTCTGGAAAAGCTGAGAGTTCTGCTCTACAACACAGTGTAATCATGAAAAACAGCCCATCTGAGGAAGAGGTCAAAGAAGAGCCTATAAAGATTAAACAGGTTTGATTCTATAAACAAAACTGGCATGCTTCAGAGTTGTCTATTGAAAGACTGTTATTTGTCTTAATTGCAGATTGCATGTTTATGAAGTACTTGATTTGTCTCTGAACAACAAAACACAGCTCCACTAATCTCAATGCACAAGTGTTTGCCAGAACGGCCGTTGTAGCTGCTGATGTTTTTACTTTTTCTGTTTTCAGGAGTTTTCCTTTAGTCAGTTTGCTAAGAATACGGTGGTCAAAAAAAGTTCAGAAGAGCCTGGCATTCCCAACAGGAGAACCAAGACCATATACACTCCTCTAGAGGAACAGTACATGGAGATCAAAAAACAACATGCAGACACAGTGCTTTGCGTTGAGTGTGGCTACAAGTACAGGTTTTTCGGTGAGGATGCAGAGGTAAGACCTAGAGCAGCCCATCACAAATAGCAGACATTGGGGGATAAATTACCCTATTAAAGTGTTAGTTAAACCAAAAGTGAAATCATCACCCTCATGTCGTTCCAAACTCATAAGACTTGTTTGAAACTTTTGTAGAACTAATAGTTATCTGACTTGAGGTGCTTTATGGTGGACTCTAACCACCTGTCCTATCCACAAAAAAAAAAAAAACACTATCACTGCCTCAGCACTCCTGCAGAAATTCCTTTTTTAACAAATACATTTGTTGCGTGGCCCTTACATGGCCTTTTATAACACTAATTTGTTCAAGCAGCCTCCCTGTTAGGCCTGCTATTTGTCAACGTGCCTATTGACCTTTCCAGAACTTTCACAGGATATTTCAACATTACTGATTGCACATAAGCGGTTTTTTAAATCATAAAGCAGGAACTGAGTAAAATCTAAAAAAAGATAATCACTGAAAATCATTATATATTCAATTTTTATTCTTCATCAAATACTTTCATTACACTTTTTTTTTTAAACCCAGACTTTTTATCCTTAATCACTCTTCAACAAAAAATTTCTATCACAAAACACAAATGAATATATTTTTAATAAAACCTGAAAAATGACTGTCCCCTCATTGAAAGGGCTACAAAAAGTCTATAAAGAGAACGTAAAAGTTATCCATATAAATTGAGCAGTTTAATCCATATCACAATCACTTAATATGATGAACAGATTTAATTAATTAACACACATATATAGAGCTCATCAAATATGGTAAACAGAAGCTCAAATTTTTTTTTTTAATTTTGTGGTCAACTATACCTTTAATGCAATGACATTGACCTGGTGTCATAAATGATAATTTTAGACTATGAAAGACTTAAGTGCATAAAATATTTGAGGCTTACCACTGTTTTTAAAAAATTATTATTAATAGATCGCTGCAAAGGAACTCAATATCACTTGTCATCTGGATCATAACTTCATGACAGCCAGCATCCCTACTCATCGTCTATTTGTGCATGTTCGGGTTCTGGTTTCAGGGCTATAAGGTCACTGATGCTCTCTTAATTACAATGCTGCAAATTTGTCACGTAAAATCTATCAACTTTCTGTGATATTGGTCACTCTAACAGTGTTTTCATTCCTCATTCTTAGGTAGGTGTAGTCAAGCAGACCGAAACGTCAGCTATCAAGGCCTCCGGCACCAACAAGAGTTCTCTATTCACACGGCAACTACATGCACTTTACACCAAATCCACACTTGTGGGAGAAGGTAATGTTTGTGCTCTTACTCAGTAGATATTGGCTTTCACTCTTGTTTTGAGATTAATTTCAATATATCCCTGTTGTTGACCAGATTCTTAGCAGCAGTTTACTGTATGGGATTGGAAAGATTTTTTAAATTTTTTTGAAAGAAGTATCTTGTGCTCACCAAGGCTGCATTTAGTTGATCAAAAATACAGTAAAATTGAAAGTGAAAAAAAAGTGAAAGTGACGTGACGTGGCCAAGTATGGTGACCCATACTAGGAATTAGTGCTCTGCATTTATCCCATCCTAAGTGCACACACACAGCAGTGAACACACACACACTGTGAACACACACCCGGAGCAGTGGGCAGCCATTTATGCTGCGGCGCCCGGGGAGCAGTTGGGGGTTCGGTGCCTTGCTCAAGGGCACCTCAGTCGTGGTATTGAAGGTGGGAGAGAGTGCTGTACATTCACTCCCCCCACCTACAATCCCTGCCTGTACGAGACTCGAACCCGCAACCTTTGGGTTACGAGTCCGACTCTCTAACCATTAGGCCACGACTTCCCCGCAAATTGTGATTATATTCATACAATTTCAAATAACCATTGTCTATTTTAATATAATTTATGTATATTATTAATGTAATTTATTCCTGTGATGCAAAGCTGAATTTTCAGCATCATTACTCCAGTCTTCAGTGTCACTTGATCTTTCAGAAATCATTCTAATATGCTGATTTGGTGCTCAAGAAAAAATTATTATTATTAACGATGTTGGAAAAAAAGGTTGTGCCGCTTAATTTTTTTTTGTTGTTGTTGTGAAAACCATGATACAGTTTTACAGGATTCATTGTTGAATGGAACATTATAAAGAGCAGCATTTATTTGAAATGGAATGTAAACGTCTTCAATAACATGTTTGACCAATTTAATGCATCCTTGATGAGTAAAGGTATGAAATTCTTGCAAAAAAATCTTAGTGAGCCCAAACTTTAGTGTATCTATTTACAAAATGGCCACAGTATCCGTTTTTTAAATAGTAACCTACAGAGCCTGCGATGAATGAGTTCATTGGTCTTTTCTCAGATGTGAATCCTCTGCTAAAGCTGGGAGATTTGGAGCAAGCTGAAGATGTGGTGCAGGACAGTGGCAACAACTATCTAATGTGTGCGAGCTAGAATTTTGATAAACAGAGTAAGGAGCTGACCATAGGGATGGTGGTAAGAAATCATTGTAGTGTCATTGTTGTAAGAGTTTCAGTTGGTTAAAACAATCCCATATGATTATAACTTTTAATGCTCACTGTTACAGCCCTGTCTTTCCTTTTGAGTACAGGTGGTCCAGCCAAGCATTGGGGACGTGATGGTGGACTGTTTTAAAGATAATGTTTCCCATTCAGAGCTGGAGTCCAGGGTACTGAGAATACAACCTGTAGAGATCCTGGTGCCTTTGGACCTCTTAGAGACAACTGAGAGATTATTACTCAACATCTCTCTGTCCAGGTAAAAATATAATCTTGCTATGCAGATCAGTTCGTATTTTGTCCTGTACAGATCTTATTGTGATTGAATATGTTTGTGTGATGCTGCATTGTAGGTGGTTTATAATAGGGCTGCAACAGCTAATTATATAATCGATAATGAAAATAACCAACAACTAATTTTATTGATTAGACATGCCTAAATGCTGTGCACATAAACCCTACTCCAGTCACATCATTTTACAACAGTGAATAATGTGTTTCCATGAACAAAAAGAACCTGAAAAATATTGGAGGACACAGTATGAGCTGCTGTGGGAAAAGTGCTTCCTAGCTTTTTATTAAATGCTTCAAACATACTTGTAAGCATATCATTTAATGCATGGAATGTGTGTCTGTGCTTCTGTTTTTCTTTAGCATTTTTAAAATATAGATTTAAACTGCTTTTCTGCATCAAAACAACTGATAAGTTGTTGTTTTTTATGATGTAAGGCTTTTTTTTTTTAAACATTTGCTGCACATAATGTATAGGATAGAAGTATGCATAGCATAGACTACATAGATACAATCCCTATGTTTGTTGTCATAGCCTTCAGTGTGCACATTGTTTGAGGGAAAACACTGGAATAGCTTTGTATTGAATACCTTTCTTTTTCAGTAAAAAAAACAACAACAGAAAATAACGTTTTATCAAATTAATCAGTTAATTGTAAGAATCAACAGATTACCTGGTTTCCAAAATAGTCGTTAGTTGCAGCACTAGTTTATAATGCAACTTCAGTTACTGAACATGATTGAAAATACTTGCCACTGATGCATTTATTTGCACTAATTTTATTGTGTGATTTTTGTTATTTGTTCTTTAGTTTTTTTTTTCTAATTTAAGAATTCTTCTGCTTTCAGTGAGTGTTTAGAGGCTGTATTCGTAATTATATATCATTGCCTGAAGAACTTCCTCAATCCTTGAAATCCACACCTAAAATACACCTTAATACAAAAATACTATTTTAAAATCGCTTTATTATGCCACCTCATAATTAAAACCCTCTCCTATGTCAGAAAACTTATTTGCAGTCTCTCTCAATGCTTTCAAATAGTTTTTATTTATCATGTCTTCAATTGTGAATGGAGGTTATAACCTCCATTCACAATTGAAGACATATAAATATGTTTTGCAGCTCATAGTGACTAGCAATTGTTGACCGTCACCACTAGATGCCAGTAAAAGACTATCACCTAATAACTGACATCATGTTTCATTGTCTATGGGAACATTCAAACATTTGTAAATACATATTTTGGTCCTTTATACTTATGTTTCCACCTTAGCAATTAACACGATTAAATTAGTTAGAGCATGTGTATTAATTGCTAAGCCACAGAAAACCATCCTATATATTTTTATGTACGCATGTAGTTATGTACATAGTTACATATGCATTATACAGGGGCTGCAAATGATCTGTATGTTCTACCCTACACAACTGAGTGCACTTTCTGCTCCTGTTTCTCAGTGCCATAGTAGGATACCTCATATTGAGAAGAATTCCATGAGGGTGTGCTGCAAGGCTGGCAGTATTTCCCTTTTAGTTTGATTCAAACTTCCTTTAAAGATCCAGCCAGACTTTGTTGGCTGTTTCAATGCATGTGGCCATATGTAGACAAGGTTGCTTAACATAGCAAAGTAGAATGGATGGTATTCATTAGGGCTGAGCTGGTGCTGGTGCTGGTGCTTCTTCACTCGGTTAAAGTGTCTGCGTTAAAGTGCTGAATACAGCTTTTCACTGATACAGGATCATGTTGTTGTGGTTTTGCTGTAAAAAATTCTTAAGGATAGCCCAGGGGATTTTTTGTGATGGTATGGTATAGTCCCAGCACTGGGGGTTGTATGAGTTGGTGTACTCTCAGTGCTGAGTTGCGTCAGGCAGGGCAACCTGCAAAGAAGAATCCTGCAAAAATCATCCCAAAACTTGGCAGGACTGTGCACATCTGAGACCGCTAAACAGCTTATGTTGGCTGACCCAACCACATTTCTCCTTGATAAAGTCTTAGACCACTAGGAACTAATGTGTTACTTTGTTATCCTTGAATTTCCCAACAGACTGGAGTAAAATTTGTCTTATGAAGACAAATCCACATTTTAGCATATAATAGCACATTTTCAAAGCAGTCAGAAACACATTGGCTGTTACATTGGCATAATACTGTTATATTGGCGGAAATTTAAATTGATGAACATATCTAGATAATTTCTTCAGACAGCTCTTTATACACTCTGTAGTGTTATACACTCAGAAAAAATACCTGCAAACCACATGCTGAATACTCACTCGTCAGTACCTTTTTTTTTTTTTCTCACCTTGTGATTGTTATCGTCTGGAATCACAGGCAACATTTCTTTGACAAATCAGGGTTATATTTTTTCACCCTGGTGATCAGGCCATCCAAAGGTCCTCTGAAACACATCTGAGAACAGCTGATGTTCACTCCTGGTCCACCCAAATTCACAGCTGCATCAGTTCCTTGCTAATGTTCTGTGATTTTACTCATTGGAATAAGATCTAGCTTCCAAACACCAGGAAACGTTATAAGCCAAGACCAGGATGTGGTCATTTCACCTGGTGGACACTGAGATCCAAGCCTGAGCTCAAAAGGGCATCTTTTAGGTCAGAAACACCTTGACGACTTTTAGTGTAAAATGAATTGAAGGGTATTTGAACTGAAATTCATTTAACATTCACTCAGCCTTTTGCTGTTGTCATCTGAAGGACCTTCTAGAGCAGGGCTAGCCAACACTGCTCCTGGAGATCTGCCTTCCTGTGGATTTGAGCTCCAACCCTAATAAAACAAACCTGAACCAGCTAATTAAGGTGTTCAGGATTGCTTGAAAATTACAGGCAGGTGTGTTGAAGTTGGAACTGCACATAAAGGTATCTCTCCAGGAGCAGGTTTGGCTACCCTTTTTTCAGGAGGAAATGGATTCTGTACTTACTGGTCCTGAATCCAGATATATCTACTTTCCTTCCATAAATTAAGTGAAAAACAGTATGTGAAAAGTGTACTATGCCTGAATTCACAATGTTCACAAAACAGTAGGCAAAAAGTACCCTGATAACCTACTACTTCCAGCAAGATTCTGAAGAGCATATCCAATGGACATGTGCTTTTACTATCCCATGAGGCCATTGGAGAGGAGTTGGAATGACAGAACTGACGCCCAGAGCGGGGTAGTAACTGATTACATGTTATCTAGATTATGTAATCAGATTCCAAAAGTGAAGTACTTGTAATTGGATTATATTACATTTTAAAATATTCTGTAACACTTTAGAATAGGGAACACATATTCACTATTAATTAAGAGTTTTCCCTCAGTAAACTCCTAATTTGCTGCTTATTAATAGGTAGTAAGGTAGTTGTTAAGTTTAGGTGTGGAGAATGTTTAAGGGATCTAAAATATGGTCATGCAGAATGTGCTTTAAAAGTACTAATAAACAGCCAATATGCTAGTAATATGCATGCTAATAAGTAACTAGTTAATAGTGAGAATTGGTCCTTAAAATAAAGTGTTACCAAATACTCATAATCAGACTAAAGTAACTTTTTTATTTATTACATGATTACATTTTAGTCACACAATAGCAGTAAGTAACACATTTGCATGTTCACGGTTCTCTGACTCTGTTAATGGTCACATGACATGCAGGTAAACAAATAAAATATTTAATTTTTTTTAGTAAGCGTTTTATTTCAAATTATTTTCATTTTACATTTTTGAGATTTAATTATTAGCTTTCATTAAACTCACAGGCCCCCTGCACTTCCTTCACGAACCTCAGTTTGGGAAACCTTGATGTAATGTAATGTTTAATGCTTTTCATGTTGTTAATAACAATAAATAGAATATATTTTCTTTCTTTTTGTATTTTTATATAAATATGGAACACGATTATGCTGTTTAAATCAATGTGATAAACGAGTTAGGTCAAAAGTAATCTAAAAGTAATCAAAAAGTAGTCTGATTACATTACCTAAAATGTGTAATGTAATGGAGTAACTAACTGCAATTTTTGTCATGCAATTTGAATGGATTACTATTTGCAGTGTTGGGAAGGCGACTTTGGAAATGTAATAGGTTACAGATTACAAGTTACCCTATTTAAAATGTAATAGTAGTGTAACTTTTTCAATTACTTTATTAAAGTAATGTAACTGATTACTTTGATTACTTCTTGATTACTTTTCTAAATTTCTGATGAATGTTTTCAACTGTTAATCATTTTCAAACATTTACACCATGCAGGGCTAACCTTACAGTAGTGCTCAACACTGATTACTGTCAAACTTTCAAAATCCTTCATGACTTCAATTAAGATGATAAAATTTGAACACATCCACCACAAAATCAGACTTTAGTGCTGCCTTTTACTTTGAGATTGATCTGAAGTTCAATGCAGATTTAAAATCGTAAGAAATAGGCCTAGCCTAGTTTACTGATACTGTTTTTGAAACCAAATCTTTGCATAACTACAGGAAACACAGCATCTAACAATGGTTTGGAAAAAATAGTTAATT